TATTGATAAGTTTCTTTTCGTGCACACAAATCTTTTCTTTTGTCCGAACTTCGTATGGTTCTTGTATCCTTACACTTATGAAACTCTGAAAGTGTCGTACGGAATCTATATCTTTTTGATGTAGAAGACTTGTCATAGAATACATAAGCACTGTTGTTGGTTACTCTGCACAACAGCATCTGACGATTTGCTTGCATGAAAATGATGCCAAAAACATCATGTTATGGTTGTCAACATTTCCTGATTTAACGTTATTTCACCTGAGTATTGACTGTGTTGTTTATCTTGAAAGTTGGAAAAAAACCCACTACTGATAGTCAGCAAAGTGCGCCATTCTTCGTTTTCTTATTGAGTTTTTCCTACTCAAATGAAAGTCATGTAATAAAAAAAGACATGCTAGAATCCTTGTCAAAGGAGGCGAAGAAGTTCCACGTTATTCATTGAAACACAGTTGTAGTGATCGATGAAATTGAGCTGACACTTTGCACATGGAACGTTCACGAGTACGTTCAACATCTTGGTTCGATCGTGTTGCGTTCATACGAGAAGAGACAAAAAATTCGACGGAAATTGTATGAAGAAACAAAAGTACATCGTGAATATGCAAGAATGCAATTCGGAGAAAATAGCGAAAATATCGAAAATATCGAAATATTTGGTTGACATTGAAAAAGGCAGATACATAAAAAGATTTTCAAGCTAGGTCAAGTGAACTATGGGGTACCCATGGAACCACTCATTACATCGGTCATAGGTCAGTTTGGCAATCTCTACTAGAGTTCTACAAGGTCTTCGTTCTCTTTGACAAATAACGTTGATAACTGTCTCTGAAATATTCGGTTACTTGAGACAGATAATATTATGCAGTTTATATTACTGAAGCCTACGTCTACTGGATAGAGAGATTGGTTATACTCGCTGAGTTTCATCTTTTATATCCTATTTCATGACATGTAGATGACTTCAATACAGGTAGTTACTGCGAGCAATATTGTATGTACGTAATTGTTTAATAATTCGCAAAATCAACGTCTACTCGAAGAGGCCAAATACGACAAAAGCACCAACTTTCTCCTCTTGTTCAAAGTTATAACTTATAGATTTGTTTATGCATTTTATTTACAAAAGAAAGACTCATGTATGGTCATCAATATGATGATGACAGAGGAAATTCTATTCTTTAGAATAATTAATTAAGAAGAAGTGTGTTCAATTCTCAATAGAGTAGAAATAAGCTGCGCGAAGAAATTCTTTTTCGACCCTGTATGTGACATTGACTTTGAGTTGCTTAAAGAAAGATAATGATTGAAAACTTTGAACCACTTCTTCACTCAAAGCAGTTCGGATTCCCATCCCACAGAACTTAAGAGAAATATGCTTCAGATTGTTGTTGGAAGCGAGCACACGTGTCCACCAATATGGGTCAAGCGGCCTTCCTCCAAGCGTAACATAATCAAATTCGAAGGAGAATGTATGGAGATTAGGGCAACATGGCAACAAAAGTTCAAGAAATGTACTACCGAACTCATTCCTAAAAAAATCTTTTCGTGCTAAGTTGAGTTTCTTCATAGCCGTAAGACCCGTATTAATCCGAGTGGGCGACAAAATAGAAGACACTATTGTACTGTCATCCATTCCGTCACCGTAAAGTTCAGCTGAAAAAGAACGAAGTTGACAGCATGTATCCAAGAGCTGAATAGCCACCATAAAATGAAGTCTGCCCACATGTATGTAGAGAAGAGATGGAAAATAAAACATACACACATTGTCCATAATCTTTAATATCGGCGAAAATATAATTCCACTTAGATACAATCGTTGAAGAAAAGGACAATGTTGACGAAAGTGAATCATCACCAGTTCATTATTAAAACGTTCGTCAGCACACTCAATTCTAACATTGAGCAAAGTAAGAAAAAAAACTATCGAACATCGAACAACTTTTTACTTTATCTAAAGGAACAATCATCATTCACCGCGCAATCTAGTTGCAAAAGTTCATACTTCGAAAACTCATGCTGACAATTCAGAGAAAAATGAAATTTTCTTTTTCTGTAGCATGAGTGAAAGAAAAAAAAATTAAAAAATGAGATATACCTGAAAGAATATGTAAATGGAGTTGGAATGAGTGATTAAATAAGAAGAATATAGTGAAAGAACCTTGATAGAGAAAAGAAGTTGATTGATCCGTTTCTTGATACCGTGAAATGCCGAGAAAAGATTTATCCAGTCAAGATAACTGAAAATTTCAAGCCAAAGTTCATTTGCTAGATCTTCAATACGTGATGGTGCTTCGTCAGACATTTCTTCCTTATTCACTTCGTCGGCTAGAGTAGTATCTATAAGACTTTCATAAACGCAAATATGATCATGTATTTTTCTCACGCCCACAAATAAAAACAGATTCCATAATTGTTATGATCTCACATTTCCAAAAAGAAGAAATAGAAAAGTACACTGTCTTCGCTATTTCTTTATTTACTTCGCTACCTGTCAGCTTTGCACTTCTTTGACGACAGTTGAAAACAAGGAATTATAACCGGGTCCAGGAGGGAGAAAGAGACTCGAAGAAGCATGAGTTTTGTGTAAGAACAAAACAAATAACAGCAGTGATCTTAAAAGGCACCGTTTGCAGCGGACACGGTATTTATTTCCGTCGATATATTAATATACAAGTTACACCTGGTGTTTGAAAAGGGTGATTACTTTTTCTCCTGGTTACCTGCAAAAGCGAAAAAATAACACATTTGTTCGTTTATATTCGTGCGCCAACATCAAACTGTTTGCTTAGAGAAAAGTATAGAACGAAACAATAGCAGTGTAAGAACAACAGAAAGAATATGTATATCACTCTCACGCACATTTGAAATATGTATTCCTTTAATCAAACATAAAGAAAAATGATTCTAAGATAGGAGTAGAGGTTCTTTGAATAATAGAAGCCGAGATCGAATAGAATACAGATTTGTAAAGATATGTCCAATCGCCTCGAACTGATTGAAGATGTCACTATTCGCTTTATTCTTTGAATCATATAGATCAATTGGAAAAAAGCAAGTTGATACATGCTCAATCACAGTTTGATGAATACAAAAAAATATGTGGATTATCTATTATTTGACAAAAAGACAGCATAATAATCAGGATTTGTTAAATTCTTGTTGAATGATAATCCTCCATTCCGTGTACTTCATCAATAGGGGGGACTAGACAACAGTTCATCACGATAAAATGAGAAAAATTCGGTAGAAAAGTGGATTGTAATAAATCATCGCAACAACAGTCAGGGAAGATATTTTATAAAAGAAAATATACTCAAACTTGTCTTGTCAATAGTAGGGTTACGTGCAGATACTCTCTTAAAACGTACCGACGTACATTTTCGACTAACGAGGAAATCTCATCAACTGATATATTCTGTTTGCGCTTATATTTTACTCATCGCTGGGGTCAGATTGCAAAGAAAAGCTCTCGAAGAGTTCGTACCATTACAACTTTCTTCTCGAGTTATAAGAACTACGAGAAGCTCCTTTCTTTATTCTTTCTTAAACGTTTCTTGTAACATGACTCCACCCGAATGAATACATAAACCATGTAAAGAAAACGAAGAAAAAATTCGAAAGTAAAATAAAAGAAGAAATGCGAATGAAGCACAGAAACATAAAATACTTCAGAGAGATATGTGGAGACATGTGCGCCTTCTCTCTGCAGCGTACCTCTCTACGGAGCAAAAGTATGTCAGTCCAGCTACACTATAAAGAGAAAGAGAAAAAATATCATTAAAAAGAAAATAAATAATGATACGCTATATAACAGACGAATGGTATAGAAAACGCCGAAAAACAAAATGTCGATCATATAAAAATGTCAAAATAAAAATACCAAAAGAGAAAGGGCCTAGAAAAGAATGTAGAACTCAAGAGTATCGAAAGAAAAAACGTCGAACATACAAAAATGTCGAAAAGTTAGAAGAAGTCGTAAATAGACAATTTACTATTGAGTTGTCTACTATTGATGCTTATCGTTGCCTTATGATATCATTGGTAATTGTTCATTGTCTAAGGCGATTAACCCCTTTAACCCGATGAGACCCACCGGTGGATCTCACTATATTTATACAGTGGTTAGTCGACTATGAAAACAAAAGGCTCTCAGCAAATTTTTTCGTTTATCAGATTTTGTAGAGCTCTCTTTGCCGATCATTTTGATAGAAAGATTTCTTAAATTTGATAAATAAATGACGGTGTTAGGATAGAAATACTGAAACAATGAGATAGCTCTGTCTGCTAGAGCTATGATTTTTTTCCAGTATTTTGACTCTAGTACCGTCATTTATTTATCAAATTTAAAAAACCTTTTTTATTAAAATGATCGACAAAGAGAGCTCTAAAAAGTCCGATAGACGAAATATTTTCTGAGATCTATTTGTTTTTCGTGGTTGACTACCTATGAAAATACTCAATTATGTCTGAAAATTTGGGAACTTTTGGTAATTCTTTAGCACATAGTCATTCTATGAATTGCTAGTTATACTGCTAAATCCTGTTTTCGACGAGGTTTCGTTTGGAATAAATTTCAATGTTGATATCATTTGTATTTGAAGTTGTATCCTCTGGAAAAATATTATTTACTACCCCGTAGAATCAAATCTGGTTCAATGGGTTAACAGTAAAAGAAGAGCGAAAGATGACGTTTGAGGAAAGAAGGGATCGAAAGAAGTATTTCTCTTTTTTATAGATATTTTAGCAGCTTTTTCTTATAAATTAAATACTAAATCATTTAATGTCAATTATTAGTAAAAATTCATATTATCTTGTTTCGAATAAAGATGAGCCTTGATTGGCATTGAATGGAATTGTGTATAAAAAAATAAAGGAACTCAAAAGAAAAAGTATTGGATATGTCAAGAAAATGAATGTTGTGCTTATCTACACACTACCATTGAAAATGTTGTACTGAAGACTACTGGTGATCCGAATCATTTACGACATCCAGAAAATATGCAATTAAAACGTTTTCGTACAAAACTAAAAGAGCATGTGATGAATGAAACAATCCCAATCATTAAAATTTATGAAGAAGAAGTGATTTCATCTCAAGTGCCACCACAAACGTTATCAATTATGCCATTAGCGCGTGACCTACGTAAGGACAACGTACTATTAACATAACTAGTTGTCTAGTATAAATTTCATTTTAGAACCCGGTTTAACATATATATATCAGAAGAAAAATGATACCTATTTTACTTGAACCTTATCAAATAATTTTTAATAATGAACCATTTCTAGCTAGAAATATTTTAATTCGTCGACGAAAGCGAATGTTGATGCTTTCAACTACAAAACAACTTAAATTGTTGTTTGATAGTCCAGTGGTGATGATAGATGGCACTTTTTTGTGCACTCTACCTTTCTTCGATCAAGTTTATTCAATTCATATTTTGATATTTGATGCTACTAATAACTATAATGTCTTTGATTTACCTCATTTCTTTTTGTTATAGATTTTCCATACACATTTAGTATACTACCAAATCGAAAAAAGTACATTTGTCTAGAAATGTTTCAAGAATTGAAAAGACTTGTTGTTCAGTTGAATCAAACATGTCCATCAAGTCGTATTTTAACTAACTATGAACCTAGCATTATCGGAGCAATATCCACTGAAGTAACCATTAATTAATACACTCAAGTGAAGCATTTCTTGCTATGTTTAGTTTTCTGATGCAATTCATAACGGCTGCTACTTTCATTTTACACAAGCCGTATACAGGCATGCACAAGATCTTGGTTTGACAACAACTTATGTAGCAGATACTGATATTCATACTTGTATTCGAAAGCGAATGGCCTTAGCACTGTTACCATTGGATAAAATTCAAATAGTATTCGATGATTTACGTAGAAATTCATCAGATAATGTTAAACAAATCTTGTATCAATTATTTTTATATTTTGAAAATCAATAGATGAAAAATATTTCATTAACACTTTACAATGCTCATGGACATAATCATCAAACAAATAATATATGTGAAGGTAACTCTTCTTTTAAACTATTCTAATTTTAACACAAATTTGTTGATAGGTTTTCACAATTGATTGAATAAACGTATTCAAAGATCTCATCCAAACATCTAGTATTCCATGTTTTATTTTCGGCATTTCAAACGTTCAACGATTTTTTCTTTCGATATTTTTTTTCGGCCTTTTCTATGCATATCTAACAGACAGACATAAAGAGACAAGAAAAGAAAAAAAAAGATGGAAAAAAGTTAGCGGTCGATCAATCAAGTGTAAGTTTGTCAGAAGTCAACACGATATGGATGAGAGTGAGATTGATTACCATGATCTAGATGGTGATGGGGATTATTTTGTTATATATCTTTCGATAAAAAGAGAAAATGAAGAAGTACAGAAATAATCTTAATAAATCTTGTTTTCTACAAAATTCTCCCACGGCCAAAAACAAGTTAATCTTTTCGATTCATTTTTTTATCACCTAATACGCTGTATTAAAAAAATAAAATACACCACAAGATGCAGCAATTTACAAAGAACAGCTTATTTCCATAGTTACACTTTTTTTCTCAAAATGGACAAAACTCTGTGCGACTAATTTTTCACGCTCCGAACAAAATCCTTTTTTGGTACACGATCAATTCCTTTTCTTATTATTTTGGTTAATGAGTTGTATCGAAAGTCATAATCGATGGCTGAACAAAGGGATTAAATTAAAAACAATGTTTCATTAATTAATGACATAAGAANTTATAGTAAAACCCAACAGGAATGCGCTGGATATCATGCATGATCTCTCAAAATGCTAAGATATTTATAAAACTCCCACCGCATATTTATGTAATATCCAAACATTTTATTAGAAAGTCGTGGCCTTCTAATATGACTTTTGCAGATATGACTCAGGGTGGCCTTCTAATGGGGGTGGCCTTCTAATATGGGGTGGCCTTCTATTCTGGGGGGGAGTTTACCATGATAAAGAATACAAAAGGAAGCTCAGCCCTGATTACGATTTAAATGCTATCCTTGTTTTGTGAATTATCTATGTATTATTCATTATTGTCAGCAAGTAAATCACGTTTTTTTTTTATTGTAGAAATTAAGTAAAGAAACAACACAATTTATTTACACGGAAATTCAACGTCATGCTGTTTGGGCAAATATGCAATTTTGGGAAATGTCATTCTATTCTGATGTTCAGCTTCAAATACGAAATTTATATTTATCACATGAAGATTCTACTCAAAATAATAATGAAAGTTCAACAGTTACAGATTCATTATCAACATTATCAACAGATACAATTACACGTTAATTAGCTGTAAGAAAAGGAGATTTTGATATTTATTTCATTATGCTTCTATTCTAAAGACTACAACATCAACACACGAATCATCTCTTGAAAATTCATCTCATCTTAATGGAACAATAATACATGAGGAAACAGCATTGGAAATAGCTGCTGAACAAGTAATAACAATAATTCAACTTTTCCTTTAAAAAAACTGTCTCTTCTTAGATGCGTCTTTACACACAAAAAACACCTGAAGAACAACGTTCAATCGAAGAACTTGAAGAACAAATACTTTATGCATTAGCTATTCATTTTTATTCAACTAATGGTTTATATGAAACTTCCATTAGATATTTCATCATCATCAAATATTCGACATTCAATATATAATCATGTTTCACATATTACTGGTGGTGATGCTGATAGTTTAACAAGTGATTTTTATCATAGTGCAAATGATCCATTTAAGTTTGTAGCTCAAGATTTTTCTTTTTTTAATTGATATTCCAATAAATAAATTTTTAGTGTTCGTGATGCAGATGAAACATCAACAGTAGGTTCACATGATAGTGGCAATGGCTTTGATTTAAATAATGATGATCAAGTAACTGATCTTGTACTTAGTTTTGTTAGAAAATTTGTTGATAAAAGGGTGTGGGTAGGTGTGGGCAGTGGCAGGCCAGCATTCCAAATATAGGTGGGGCAATAAACTTTAATTCCTGGGCATAATAAAAAATCTATTTTCAGCTTTATGAAAATGCTCTATGATAGCTGCATTCATTCAAGCTGCAATTAAAACTAGTCTTTTAAAAGTAATCTCTATATTTGTTTTTCTGTTGAAGTCAATAAATAAACGAGTAAATATTGGATTTAAAATTTTTTTGGGTGAGGTAATTGCCCCCAATTGCCTCGTGGCGGCCCGCCACTGGGTGTGGGTGTGGGTAGTGGCGTGGAATTAGGTGTGAAAGAGTGAAGAAAAACCCACACCCGCACTCACACCCCATACCCACACCCACACACCCACCCACACCCACACCCACAGCCTGTAAATTTGAAGTCTTAATGACTTCCTCCTCATTCCCACTCCATTACAGACCGTAGTAACCAGTTTCATAGTCGTTGAGTATTCTAGCTTATATGAAATATGCAAGATCCATATTTTAGCTCCAAAGGGCTGCGCTACTAAGCTTTCTTTTACCTAACTTAGCTAGATAAACTCCTTCAACTTTAGAAATGATTACATAATAATTTATCAAGTTCATGTGGTTTAATATCAATTAAATGAAGACGTTGAAGCAATATTGCCTGATGGAATTGATGAGACGATAAAATAAGCGACCATCCATCAACAACGTGACTTCATATTAAACATAATGAGACAACACATCGTCCTATTAATTTCGAAACATTTTGACAAAGATCATTGAACATCGATAATGACATTATATTATCGTCAATATGAGTGTGTCACAAATATTCATTCATAACAATTCTTGAGAAACATTTATTCAATGATAAAAATGATTGAAGAATTTCAAAAATAATATCGACAGATAGAAATTCAAACTTACTTACGCTCGTTTTTTTTAATATTTCTTGTTCATCATTATTGAGTTATATATATATTGGCATACACAACGATATACCTCCGTCAATGTCATTTAATGAGCATTTATTCTAAACGCCTGAATTGGAAGAAAAACAAACAAAGAAAAGCATTAACATTGATATTTAGTCAATGTATGTTAATAGAATGTAATTTGTTTATGTTATATATAGATGTATTACTCAAAATATAACAGCTTAAATTATTCTTTAAGAATTATTTAAATAAATATCTTTTTCAAAATTTAATTATTCTTTCGATATGAAATCAAGTAAAATTCAATTAATAGACGGATGTGAGTGTCTGCGTAGGCATAAACAGTATCTAGAGCAAGATCAATACCTACACATACACCCACAAATAGTGTTTTATAATCAGTTTAGATATCAACCATTTTCCTCTAGATAATTCAGCATTAGAAGTTAATATTACTCATCATAATGAAGTTCTTTGAATGCTTCTATTATTTCAGTATAGTCCAGTAGATGATCACATCAAACGATGATATGGATATGAGTGATTTTCTGGACGCGGCGTTCAGAATATCAACATAAGACCTATCTCTATAGTCTTACCTTAGTATTGCGAACTTAGGAGGCATATTAGTATGGAATTGAGCATCCATCTCGTTCGTTATACGAAATTCTCTAAAAATTCTCAACTCTATAGATATGTAGGTATTAACTTAGGTATTTATCTCGTTATACTGTATTGACTCAAAATCGTTAATTTAGGGGCATATAGGTACTGTGAATCCATTAAGCAAATATCCTAACATCTATGTTGTGAATCTTGATTCCCGAGTTACGGATTTTATGACATCTTTCTATATAAACAAAATGTAAGAAAAGAAAAGAGTAAAGTGCATTTCAATCTCAGAAAAACACTTCCGTAAAATATTACAAATTGGTCCAACTCGAAACGGGAAATAAGATCATTGAGATTTATCTACTAAACATCATTAGGAAATATCTTATGCTGTATATGGAAACCACTTCCAAAATGGAGTAAAATGGACGATCGAGAAAATGATCACTGCCGTTGGGTCGTAAACGATCACCGGAACGAGAGCTATTTTTCAACGTTTTAAAGCCGTTCAATCCGATCTGGATCATTCTATTTGAAAAGTACTGAAATACTCATTTAGTAACAGCGACATAATTTCAGTACGATGGCTCCTTTTTTCATAGCATAATAGAAAATTATCTATTCATTGTGTTCATTTGATGTTATTGAGATGAAACAGTAATATTATAAACATCATAGCAAAAATATGATGTTTATAAATTAAAAGAAAACAAAACAAAAATAACAACAAAGTTATTCCCAAACGGAAAAACAAGAAAAGTGGAAACAAAAACAAATTGAATATCAATTTGTTTAATCACTAATCATCGTCGTCATTAAATTTTATTTTTTTGCTACTTGTTTCACCATTATTATGACCGTTTTCACCATTACCGGTAAAGCTACGTTTGACACCATAACCATTGGCACTCATTGATGATCGTCCTTTTTTGGGTTCTGGGCATTCAAATGATTTATGACCATTTTTACCGCAATTAAAACAACCACCACCTAAATTCATATTGATTCGTTTTATTTTCGAATTTCTTACATTGACGAGAAACTTACTTGATTGTTCGCGACCACCGAATCTTTTCGTTTCCGTACATTCGAATGATTTATGACCATCTTTACCGCATTTGAAACAACCATTACCACCTGATGTAAAAAAATTTGTCTTTACAAATTAAATTCAATTAAAATAACTTACCGGATTTTCGTTGAGATTGTCCACCATTTGCTTCAGGACATTCAAAAGATTTATGACCTTCCTTTTGACCTAAAATAATGTATTAATAGAGACCTAGTTTTCATCATTTCAGAGAGATGATACGGAGCCATCGAAATATATCGACATTTCATTGGTCAGCAACTGACCAATCAGGTGAGTTCTTGATGGAGATTTTCAAAAATGACATTTTGAAGTTATTTTCCTTTCGATCTATTCAAGACCGACATTCCAAGCTTGTTCCGTTCGAGAGTTATAGAACTTTTTCTGAGACGCATGATTTCAGTCAATTGACCTATGATCATCCGAAAACGCCGTCAGACAGGGCTAATTCGCCATGCTGAGTCGAATGATGATATTTGTTTTTAGGTTCAAGTTGATCTGACTTACAATCAGCCTTCAAGTAACAAAGGAGTCGACATGTGTGTCGATCGAAAGGAAAATAACTTTAGAAATCGTTTTCGAAAATCTCCACCAAAAACTTCTCTGATTAGTCAATTGCTGAGTAATCAAATTTTGATAACACTTCGATAGCCCCGTATTTTCTTTTTTTGAATGATGAAAATCTCAGGTCTCTATGATGTTTCGATAAAAATTTATTTGAAAATACTTACATTTAAAACACGCATCTAAAAAAGAAAGAAAAAGAAATCAAATTAATACACAAAGAAGGATTATGGATTACTCTTACTTGATCGATCCGAATGTCGATTACCAGCATAACTACCACCACGTGTTGATCCATTAGTATTACGTGAAAAACCTCTATTACCATTTCGAGATGCTTCATCTAGTTGTGGCAATTCGGTAATGGGTTTCATTTGAATTCTTGGACTATCTTTCCAACAAATTTGTAATTTTTCATCAAGTTCACTTGGTATATCAAATACTGCATTCTAAATATAATTCATTATACTAAAGTCTTTTTTTCTATCTCAATCTATTGATACATACTCGATAATCTTTTGTAAATGCAACTTGTGAACAATTACCCTTTGCATCAAAATCTTCTCCAAAACATTTACGTAACATGGTAAATACTAGTCCGGCACCTTTCAATTCATCTGTAACTGATAACATATATGTTGTATAATTCTAATAAATAAACATAATAACAAAAACTAAAAGAAAAAGAATTTTTTCATACTTCTTTTTTTGTTAATAGAGACCGAGAAACAATGCTTGTTGTACCAGATATACAAGCTAACGCAGCAGATAGAGCATCAACTGCGTCACATGTTTCAAGAATTTTTTCTGCAGCTTCACGAAAATGTGCTTTAGCTGCATCAGTCACACTATCAAGAGCTCTAAAAACCAGAAATAAAAATGAAAAATGAACATGGAAATTTGAAAATATTACTTAGCTGCGTCGGCTGATGATGCACTAAGTACGTCTTCTGTTCGTGGTGGCTCAATTCGTGTAAAATTAATACCCTAAAATATCAAAATAATATAAGGCCAACGTATTTTTTTTTGACAATATCAAGAATACAACTCAAATCCAAATAATAATTTCGAATAGCCAATGAAGTTCTCTATTAAATGTATTTTATAGATGAACGATGAGAAGAAGAAACCTGAAACCTTCCTTTTGTAGTTCATCTATGAAATTTCAGTATGGAAGACATTTGATAGAATACTTCATTAGCTATTCAAACTATTATTTGAATTTGAGTTTTGGTATTGTAGAAAGAAAAACTATCTAATAAAAAAATTTATACATACGGCTTCTATTTCTACTCGTTTAAGATCACGTGATTGGTTTAATTTATAAAGACAAATACATTTGCCTTGTGCACCAGCTCGACCTGTACGACCGGATCGATGAATATATGATTCAACATCCTAAAATTATAAATCCATTTCTAATTAACACAACAAACTGCACGATATATATATATCCTTACTTTAGGTGGAGCTGTTACAATAACAAGATCAACTTCTGGAATATCAAGACCACGAGCAGCAACATCAGTTGTAACTAATAAACGATATTTTCCTTCGCGAAATTTCTAATAGAATAAAATTTTCTTATATTTCAATAGAAAAATTTTCAAAACGAACTTTAAGAACAAGTTCACGTTTATCTTGCGGAATATCACCATGAAGTACATGTGCTTCAGCTTTAATATCATGACTAACTGAAAGTTCATCAGCTTCTTTTTTTGTTTCACAAAAAACAATAGCACGTCCATCTTGACTATTAATAGAATAAATTTGAACAAGAGAATTAATAACACCAGCTCGATCTTGATAGGTGCATAATACAGCTAGATGCTAATCAACATAAAGACAATATAATTTAGAAAAAAGAAAACAAAAAAAATGTAAACATTTTACTTCAACATTTGCAGAAGTTTTTTGTGTATTTCCTTTAACTAAATCAATTGTCATAAAATCTTTTGACATATATTTTTTAGTTGTTTTATGAACCCAATCAGGCATTGTTGCAGAAAACACAATAAAGTGTGGTTTTGTTTCTCGATCTGTAGAAATTTAAAAATAAATTAATATATTACTGTTTTTTTTTAAATTTGTTTCAATAATAATTACTTGGTACAAAAATATGACCAAGAATTTCTTCAACATCATCAATAAAACCCATATCAAGCATTCGATCAACTTCATCAAGAATAACATGTTTGACTTTAGTTAAATCGAGTTTGCCTTTATCAACAATATCTTTTAATCGACCAGGTGTTGCTACAAGAATATCACATCCATTACGGATACTCTTTTCTTGATCTTCATATTTTTTTCCACCATAAATTGTTACAATTGATAAATCACTAGCAACCGATTGAAAATCATCCGAAATTTGATTAGCTAAAGCAATATAAAAAGAAATTTTATACCTTATTTTATGATCGCGCTGTGTATAATACAAATAAATGTTATATAACTAATTCTAGCAGGGTACACTTTCAAGCAGGTTGTGTGATACTTTGAGGATAGAAGAAACCAAATTTCTCGAGGGACGACGTTTTCAAAAGTTATCTTTCCTCCTTTTTTTGTGCAAAAGTCCAAGACGTTGTCTGCATCAAGCAAAATAGTAGTTTTAGCGAAGTCCTTAGTTTATGTTTTGAAACAACTTCAAAACAATATTATTGTAGAGCACTAAATGCTGTATAAAATGAGATATTACAATTAACGCAATTTCATCTATGCATTTTCACTAAAGAGCAGGTTTCTATGTAAATCGTTGTTTCAAAACTGCTATTAAAAATACATAATTTGTAAAGTAAACTTTGCCCTCGAAAACAAATCCATGTTGCAAGTTTGTTCGTGATACTGCTGTTTGGAGAATAACTATCGGCTTACCACAATACAGTGCACATTATACCGAACAGGATGCCGACGGTTTTTGTCCGGTTTCTATATATTCCAGAAAGAAATTCTGGAAATATACTTTGAAAGAGCAAAAATGTTTGATTCTAACCAATTGTATTTAGGTGGACAAAAAAAATGAGGGAATATTTTTAATGAAAACTTTCGTATCATAGGTTAGTTTAATTCTTATCAAGACTTACTTAATTCTCGTGTTGGTGCCAAAACAAGAACTCGAGGTGCTCGTCCACGTATTAACTTAAGTGATGTATCGTTTTGAAGTAATTCAACAATAGGAATTGAAAAAGCTAATGTTTTTCCAGTGCCTGTATATGCTTGAACTAAACAATCTTTTTGATCATGAATATGTTTGTAACTTTCTGCTTGAACAGGAAAGAGAAAATCAACATTACGATCTAAAAATAAATTATATATATATTTTTTGTTTTTGTTGAAAATTTTTTGTATAAAAGTTTTAATTTACTTTGAAGTTTTTTAATTGTTTGTTTTGAAATGTTAAAATTTTTAAAATTTCCTTTTTCTTTATCAGCATCAGTTAAATGCATATTAGATTTATTATTTTTATCGTCATTGATTGTCTCATCAATTCCATTTTTGTGTTCATCATTAACGGTCATTTTATCTTGTTTTCTTAATTGCATCTTTTTTTCTTCTTGTCAAAAAAAACAAATAATTAATAAAGGAAAATGATGAGATCTAAAAAAGAAAAGAAGACTCACCGTAATTTTTATTTAACTATAGAAAAAAGGATTATAAGAATAAAGACGACAAAAAAAAAAACAAAATTTTGCCTAAATTCTTTTTTTTTAATAAATACTTATTCGCAATAAATTATATCGAAAGACTCACGTACTGAAATATAAAAAAGACAAAAAAAGATAATTCAATCTAATTATAAATATTTTCGAATAAATTCGAATATACGTTCTTCCATATAGTAACGTTCGTCAAATTTTCTTGGCATATGTCTTCCATCTGGAAATATTACTAGTTCATATGGTTTATTAGCTCTAATAAGTGCATTTACAAGACGAGCTGAATGACGAAAATGAACATTCTCATCAATTAAACCATGAATTATCATTAAATGTCCTTTTAAATTATTTACATGATACATTACACTTGAAATTTCATATGCACGTGGATTCTCTTCTGGTGTACCCATATATCTTTCAGTATAATGAGTATCATATCTAAACAAAAGAAAAAAGAACATTATGTAATAGATGCTAATTTTCTTGTGTCTCTTTTTTAATTTACCCATCCCAATGTGTAACTGGTGCGCCAGCAATACCTAATTTAAAAATATTACTTGCACGAGCCAATGCCATAGCTGACATATATCCACCATAAGACCAACCAAATATACCAACACGTGTTTCATCAGTAATACCTTGTTTGATAAGATATTGTACACCATCAATTTGATCATCTAATTCTATATGTCCCATGTCATGTCTAATAGAACTTTCAAATGCAACACCTCGATTTGAGCTACCACGATTATCTAAACATAATACAACATAACCAGATTTAACTAAACGTTGACAACGCATATCAGTTCGAAGTGACCAGGAATTTACAACACTAGAAAGTAAAAAAGATTCAGGTTGATTAACATTAAAAAAAAATAGCTGTTAGAGCAATTCTTGCAGAATGAAAATGTGAAAGTCGATATAACTGCTGTACAGATATGCAAGAAGGAAATAGTTATTATATTATAATGAGACGTTATTGATATACAGTCTATGATTACACATCAACAACGTCTGTTATAATGTGTGAGATTCAAATTTTTACTTCTATACTTCAAGAACACTCTTGTAGATTGTGTTTCAGAAAAATATGTTTTTCTCATACCGTTGAAGATGTGGTCCACCATAAACTGATACAAGTGTTGGATATGGAGTTTGATATCTTTCTTGTTCATTATCTGGTGTATAAAGTGCACAATAAAGTGTATCATTATTTCTATTTAATATAGGAAATAATTTTGGTTTAACTAAATTAAATTGTTCAATTGTTCGTAATACACTTTGTTTTAAATGATCTAAAGTTTTAATAATTTCTTTTTTTTTAACATCTAATATTCTTATTACTGGATATTGATCTATGGAATTCCATTGTGTTATACAATATTGATATGTTTGATGAAAACAATAAACAACATGACAACCAGATTCTTGTGTTATACGATCTATTTTAGATATGTCATCATTATAATTAACACAATAAAGATGAGTTTCAAGTGGTGTTTCACGATTAGCCATAAAATATATTATTGAATTAATTTCATCAATATCAACAATACGTTGTACAACCCAATTACCATTTGTTAATGTTTTTATTAATTTTCCACTGTTATAATCATGTAATTCTAAATGCATATAACCAGTTCGTTCACTAGCCCATATAAATTGTGTTGGTGTTTTTTTTAATGCATAAAATAAATCATGTAAATTAATCCATATTTCACTCATTTCTTCAATTAATAATTTTAATGATTTTTTATTTAAAAAATCATATTGATATAATTGTAATTTAGTTTGTTGACGATTTTCAATTTGTAATGCAAGGCTATTATCAGGAAAGAAATCAACACGTGCTATATAATAATCATTAAATCCACTTAAATCAACCCGATGTATAATTGGTTGTTTTTGATTATTTTCACTTGTAAGATCAATTATACCAACGGTTACTTGAACATTAGCTTTACCAGCAAATGGATATCGATGTTCTTCAACCTAGAATATAAAAAATAAAATAAGATTGTTTTTTTTTTCTATTTTTGATAATTTTTTCTTACATGATCAGGATCACTAGAACCGGAATGTGAAATACGAAAAGCTGGTACATTTGACTCATCAACTTGAGTAAATGCAATAAAACGTGAATCATCTGACCACCAAAACCCATCATTACGATCCATTTCTTCTTGTGCAATAAATTCTGCAAGACCATTTGTTTTATTTGGATAATTACGAGCATCAAATGTTAATTGACGTGGTTCAGCTAAAGGTATAGATGATACTGTTGATATACAATAAAGTTCACAGTCTTGAACATAAGCAACTAGTTTTCCATCAGGTGATAATTTAGGATCAAGAATGGATGTTTGATGAGATCCATTGACTAAAAGACGAAGTTGTTTTTTATCACGAACATAAAGATCACCACCTATGGGAATAAGCATTATTGATTGAGTTTTATCTTTTGCCCATTGATAACGAGTTATATATGTTACTAATTGACGTTGATGCTAAAACGAAAGGAATAATTATTTTTAATTTATTTTTTTGTCTTAAGTCTTGCCGTTAGTGTCCTCAATGTGAAACAAAAGAATGTCTTTCATCATAAATTTTGGCTTAATTAGTTCTTACATGTTTATCGTAAAAATATTATCGAACAAAAATCTTTTTAGTTAGATGAATCTTTTTCAAACAGCATAATAGAATATTTAGCTTTACAGAATCTATCTGTTTCCTATCCGTTTATTACTAAGTGGAAAGATTCATCATTTTTTTCTTCTATCTTTAGCTATCGTTTGATTTGTTGGCAGTTCTGGTTTTTCAGACATTATAATCCAAGCAGTTTTCAAGTCCATTAATTCTGATAGAGAATTCTTTCAGCTACTCAAGTTTTTTTTTTTGATTCTTTCTAACTATTACTATCAAAAAGAAAACTCAAAAATACAACTACTCTAAACTTTTGTGCATCACTATAAATAACAGTATACTAATCAGGAAGTTGATGATCGACTTTTTCAATATTAATCATTGCTCTTCAAGTAAAAGTATCAGAAACGACCGAAATAACTGACCTTTATTATAGGTTTAGATCGTGTCCATTCGTTTCATCGAACGTAATAGTAGTGATTGAAAAGTATCTATAGGACGAATGGATTCGAGGAAATGAGATGAGGCGTTATTGATATACAGTTTTTGGTCGGATATCAACAACGTCTTGCACGGTCTGTTATAATCTCTAACTAGCATCTTACTAATTCTCTATAAGTTTAAAAAAAAATAAAAATGCATGTTTGTTTCAAATATTAAAAAAACCCACCTACTTCATGTCGAAATTCTTCTTCTAGGGAAAGATTAGCTTCGGTAACTTCATCATCGTTCTCCATTTCACTAAGAACAAGTTCTTTATCCGTTCGAAGATCATATGCATAAAGTTTTCGTATTAATGGTGGAAATGGTGAACGAATATAAGTTAATATATTATCATCTGGACTAAACTGTATCGATTCAGCTAGATTATAACCAGGTTGTGGGATGGATGCCACATCATAGCTCGTTATTCGCCTATATGGCATCTGAAATAGATAATCATTTCTCAGATACATGTATTATTATTGCGCAGTGATAAAACAATAATATATATATATGTGAATCGATCTTGATTATATATAAGAATAATGCGTCTTTCTTTTTTTTAATGATTAAAATCCGAAAAAAGGCAAAGCAAAAAACATGATTCAAAGAAGCGTTTAAATATATCGAGAAAGAATGAATTTTATATACATAAAAATTAATTCAGTCTTTTTTGTTTTATTCACGTTTTTTCTGTTGTAAATCGTGTTGAGATTGTTCATACGACGGTGGCATTTGAGGATGCTATAATAATGAATGAAATCAATAAGAAAATTTCTAAGATAAAAACAAATGTCATACCGATTGTTGATTCATTTGTGGAACATACATTTGACCACCATAATTATTATTTTGATAAGCCGATTGAGGTGGATATTGCATTGGTGCTTGATATCCATTCGGCATTTGAGGATACATATTAGAATTGTTTACTTCCGATTGGGGAGCCGATGGTATATCAGGATATTGAGGAACAAATTCTGCTCTTGGGAGACCTGTTGGCTGTCTTTGATAGACTCCTTCATATGGTGCTTGAGCTGGTGATACGTACATAGTTGTTTCTAAATTCAAACAAAAAAAATCAATTTTATTAATATATAGAGGGGCAGCATGGCTCATTCTCAAAAAAAAATAGAATTTCTGCATAAAAAACATTCATAAAGATAGTGAACAGATATGAGTAAGAGAGTTTTGTAGTGACCCATTTTACTTTAATCAAAATTTCATTACTTATTGATTGTCACATATCTCAAAATGATTAGTTATTTAATCTCAAGCACTATTTAATCAATATTCAGCTACTTATTTATTCTGACTGATTTGTTTCGAGCAAGGAAGAGAAAGATTGCATATGCGTGGATGAATAAGAAAAAAGAATATCATGGAATTGTTGTTTTTGGTTGAATTAAGAACTGCTGAAAATAACTATTGCATTCTTAAATTAATTTAGAAGAAAAGTTTACAGATGTTTCGAAAATGATGCTTTAGTTGGAACGAAATACTATGACATGAGAATATTAACAAAACAGAAAAATATTTTATTGATGGAATGAGAATATATTCGAAATAAACTTTACCAGCAAAATGATTATTCGAAGCTTGTGCTGCTTGATATGATGGTGGTGGAGGTTCATATAAATTAGCTGCAGCCATACCATAAGATCTAAAAATAATTCAACAGAGATAGTGTTATTTTAAAAGACAAAAATAAAATAATTTACGGTGGTGCTGCTTGAGTATGTCGATGAACTATAATTAAAACAATATAATCAATGAAGCATATTATTGACATAAAAAGAGCATGACTTACAAATCGAATTAACCTCACGTAACGCTTTACTAGCGTCAATAGCACCACCCGATGAATACGTTAATTGAAATTTAACTTCGCCTTGAAATCCACCTAAACAGAAAAAAAAAACAAATGTCAATCATAACACATGTTCTTATCAATTGATTGATTGAATGATATATAAATGATGAAACAACAAGAAAAAAAACAGAATAGACAATACAAGCATGATCATCAAACAACGAATAGAAATTATATTCTTGTGTATTATTGTTATTAATATTCGAATAACAAATGAAACAAAATTCGAACTTGATTATTATCAATATTTGCAACAATATGGTTATACACCAAAAGTTGAAGGACGTCGACTTTTTTCTATAATTGCTCGATCTTCTTATACAGAAGCAATTCTTAAATTTCAACGTCTTTATAAATTACCTGTAAGTTAATTTCCTTTTTTTTTCTTTTATCAATTTGATTAACTATTAAGCTTTATTCAATTGTAGGAAACAGGTCAACTAGATGAAAGAACAAAAAGTTTTATGCAAAGACCTCGATGTGGAAATCCTGATCTTGGTACTTATGATTCCATTGGACATCCAGTTAATATTGATAAACGTGAATCTTTATCTACTAATGTTCAAGGACGATCAGGAAAAACTAAAGTACCGGAAAATTCTGCAATAAACACACATACTTGGCCACAAAAACATTTAAAATGGTTTATAGAAAAATATCCTGAACAACAAAAATATATTACAACAAAAGATCATATTCAACGTATAATAAATCAATCATTTTATGATTGGCAAAAGCATTCTGGATTAACATTTGAAATGGTTAAAACAAAACATACAGCTAATTTTAAAATAAAATTTGATTCAAAAAATCATAGTGATGGATATCCATTTGATGGACCTGGTGCAACATTAGCACATGCCTTTTATCCAACAAGTGGTGATATACATTTTGATGATGACGATGATTTTACAGATGAATACAAAGATAATGATGATTTATATACGCTAAGATTTGTTGCTGCACATGAAATAGGTCATGCACTTGGTTTAGATCATTCATTTGAAAATGGTTCACTTATGTATCCAATCTATCAACAATTTGATTCAAATTATGATTTATCAAATGATGATCAACAAGCTATACAAACATTGTATGGTAAACCCGAAATAAAATCTACAACTGAACCATCTAAAACAACATTATCATCATCAACATATTCTTTGGATATATTACCAATTGATAATTGGTGTTCAGAAGAATTTCAAACTGGTTGTGAGGGTCCCGATGGTGAACTTTATTTATTTAAAGATAATCAAGTATGGAGATATCAAACAAGAAGAAAGCGTTCGTGGGATCCTCAACCAACATTAATTAACGAACGTTTTCCATCATTAACGGATACAACAATAACAGCTTGTGTTAAATCATCTATTGGTTATACATATTTATTTCGTGATTATCGTATGTGGCAATTAAAAACACATTGGTCTATTGATGGACCATATATATTACATGGTAAAAATTATCCACAAAATCCACGTATTGCTTTATTACATCGAAATTCAATTTATTTAATACGTAATCGTTTAGCATTTCGTTTAAATGAATTTGATCATAATAGCGAATTAGAAATTCTTACGATTGATGCTATACTTAATCCACCACCAAATGAATTTATACAATCTGGTTTTACATATGCTAAACGTCATTATATATTTACAAAAGATTTTGTTTATGTTTACGATTCAACACATGAAAGTTTATTACCTGGTTATCCTAAAGCTAAAGTAAATGGTTGGTTTGCATGCGAATCAACATTACAAATACCGACATCAAGAAAAAAAACAACAACAACTATGCGAACATTATTAACTGAATCATATCGAAAACATGAACATGACGAAGATGAAGACGATCATGATTTTCATCATCATCACCATCATCATCGACCGAGACGACCTTTTCATCATCATCATCATCATCATCGTTATTCTCCTCATCCATATCGTCGTCGTTGGGAATATTAAAATAAAACAGCTTTTTCTCTTATAAAAACTGTCTGAGAGATTCAATACATTTTTAGAATTCTAAATAAATATGTATTTAAAAAATAATGGTAATAAGTAGTATATCTAATTATTGAGGGCGAATAGTATAGTGTTCGTTTTTGAGAAAGCGTCATCCTGTTCAAGCTTTCTACACGTCGCAAGCAACTTGTTTCTCAATGATTTATGCATTCTTCTTGTAGACTATGGTGGTTCAATACTGCAAAAACCGCCGTTCATGACTCATGTTATCTTTACTCATTACTGTATGTGCTATACTTTAATTGTTTTCGTTTTTTATAAGTTACTTGTCATCAACAATATATGCCTTTATGTTCTATGATGGATAGAGGGTTAGATAAATTGCAAATAAATAGTATTTCTAATTATTCAGGATTAAATCTTTAGTTATGGAACTCGCATGTACATAATTGCTGAGCTTTTAGGCAGGTTATAATTTTTACAATCTTCTCATTTTCTTTGGTCAATAGAGTATTTTCTCTTTCCCTCATACTTTTAGTATCCAAACATCATGACATGATATTATTGTACACGTATATCAAGTAAAAAAAAGATTGGCTTAGAAGAAAAATTTTGTTTACAGAGTGACGTAATCTATTATTCACTTTGCTTCAGGAAAAGTCTAGTAGATTCTGTACTAATGTTAACTGGATAATTGTCTGCAACTAAACTACACTATTTTATAAATACTTCTAAAATCAACAAACTGTGAGAATAATTAATATATTAAAAACTAACCGTTTGGATGTGCACCAGCAATACCCGAAATATAATTAGCACCAAATATGGGTTGTTCAACATTTAAATTTCTCATATACATAAAAGCCACAGCAAATGAAAGTAAATTATCTCGTTGATCATCACTAAGAAAGATCATTCGATGAGTTGTTACAAATACTTTTCCTTTATGTTTTCCACGAAATATTTCACCACATTGACGACTTGCATCATCAAATGTTAATGTTACATTTTTAGAATGATTGACAATTCTAATATATATTTACAAAAAAAAAAATAAATATTAATTATTTTACAGAAAATTTGATTTGCTTACTGTTCGCCCTGATACAATAAAAGACCACCTTGATAATGTGCTTGATTGATTGACATTGTATTGCTTATATGTTAATCAATATAAACAATTGTTGAATATTAATCGATAAAATATTAAATAACAATAAAATTAATATCTTTGGAAAGATATTCTAGTGCAAATGAATTTTGTAATGAGTAAATAATCCAGACTATTCGGCAGCCGATGAAAAATCTTAAAGGTTACAAAAGGAACCAATAGTTTGACTTCTTTTCTTTTTGTCTTTTCATCTGTTAATTTTAATAAGTTAAATTTCTCTTCATATCTATTTTTTATTTCAATCAATTTGACAAAGGTAGTTGTAGGCACCATTTACGGGAAACAAAAGAATTAAGGAAAAACATATGGATGCCGTTATAGAGGCACAATAAATCCATTAATGGGAAAATTGGATTCGTTATTTATGTTGCAAATAGAATTTTTTTTATTGAGTGATGATTCATACAGAAAAAGTTAAGGTATCATCTTATACACCTTCGACTAGAGTTTTTATTTTTTTTAAATCTTATATCCTTATGACGATGCTTTTGCTTGAGTTCCCCTCCATTCAAAACATGGAAGAACTTTGTCAAAAAATACCGAAAAAAATTGAGATTAATGCATAATTGAATACTTTGAAGTGTGTATACTAAGTATCAATTGTAAGCACTTCCGAGCAAAACATTAAAATAAACGCAAAATCAAAAACAAAACCTAACTATTAATACGACTTTCAGATTTCTTTTTACTATGCAATTGGATTTTTGAAGAAAGACTCTGATTTCCTTATAAAAGACACCAATTTTTTTTTCAATTGGTAGATTTTTTGAAAATAACTTTTTCACACAAGAAGAACAATCGGAGACCAACAAGAACTATACACAAATTCAAATTAAAAAATGCCAGAAATACGAATTAGTTTGTAACGGAGATTCTTTCTAAGAGATAACTACTAAAACAACAAAATCACAGCAGTTTATGAAAATAATGTCACAGTGACTATGGGTTACAGATTTAAAATACCTTTATGGATCTAAAACACAAAAGCTGAGATGTTGCTGATTATAAAAAAAACATACATCTAATATTATGTAACAAATCAACCATCATTTGATCAAGTTTTACGACTACTGTTAAATAATACATTATATGTCTAGGTTCATATTATTCTGCATTTTATTTCTGTGCAAATAATATTTCAGCACATTGTTTTCAAGTTTTCTCAAATCATGAGTTCGACGACGCATCTCCAACGGTATTCTAGAGAATCCGAAAATAAAGTCAAATATATTTGTTTGTTTCAAAGCTGACATTTAGATTTAGTGACTCTCGTGGCTTCTTTTTCTAAAAAGATTTTTGATAAAGGAAAAAAACAGTCTTTTTCTATCAAAACTTGAGTACCTGGAAACTTCGCATTTTTATTGAAAGTTTGTTAATCTCACGTAAATCTGAAAACTAAAAAAAGAAAAAAAATTGAGAAAAGGTTCCGAGAGTCACTAGTCCCAAATATCTTACGTAAAATAAGAAAAAGAGAATATTCATTCCCAGTCGTTGTAGTAGAATGTTATTGAAGATCCGAGAACCTCCCAGAATGAGAGCTTTTGTATATAAAAATCGTTACTACTACAACAAACAGCAAGATACGAAGCTGAAAATTTTCTTGTATACGTAACTCAGTAGTCCCATTATGTACATAAAACTTAAGCGCAATAGCATGTCATAGTACAAAGTTCAAGTTTTGAAGAGGGCTTAAATATTTTTACACATTTTAATTGAATCAGCACTTTTTTCTTTGACTTTGTTTTTCTTCTATAAATGCACAATTTTAGCATGTCGGACATATCATTTATTTACGCGATGAAAATCTTAAGATGTTTTATTGAACCTATATTGAGTTTTTTCATGAAACAAGCTGAGTTAAATATCAAGACAATTCTATATTCCATGAAACAAAGACATTATCTTATAACCATTTACACTGTTATGTT